TTTTTTTTTTTTTTTTTTGGTACAAAAATTTTTACTACTTTAATTAAATGTAGATGTCTTTGCACATATAAATTAGATTTAATGGTGATGTTCGTCTGTATGCATGACACTTAAATAAAAGTAAACTTAAGCTAATATTGTACTAGGTAATTTATGTATTTCATAATGTAAAAAATTTGAGTATATGTTCTGCATAAAGTATATACTCAATCTGTACCTTAGTTAAACGCCTAATATAACTATAGTGATTATATATTACATTATTATTTATGCATATGTTGTTTAATATTTTTTTGTTATATTATTTATTTGAAGTTTAATTTTTGTACATAAGAAAATAGTTGTCCAAAATAAATATATACACAAAATACACCTTAGTTAGACATATATAATACTTGTTGAATAGTGCACTCGTGCACATTCCAAGTAAGGTGGAACACCCAGGTCTAGTTTACTTATCTCCATCGTGTGAGCGACTAAATACGGTTTTGGATTTTTTTTATTATAGAAAAATAAGTTTTTGGAAGAAAAGTGAATTTTAAAAGTGTGATTATGATAAGATAAAAGTGAATAATTAAAGTTGATGTTATGTAAAAGAAATAAAATAATGAAAGGTAGATATATGTATGAGTGGATAAATAATAAATTTTATAGTGTGTGGTTCTTCTTCTTCTTCTTCTTCTAATTGAGAAGCTTTTATGACAGTTTTACCTAACATGCAAGCCAAATTGTTATCCGAAGAGCTTAAAAATCTTGCAAAAAGAGAAATACTTCATACTTAAAGAATCGATATCCAAGTTGCACAGAATCATTCATTTCTTAAGAAACTACAGAATATATATTGCATATATAATGGAATAATCAACTGTTTTTCACTTACAAAATAAAACACAACACGCATCGTTTACTCTCTTTTTTGTTATTTCCCCCTAAGCTACCAAATGTCACAAGACAAGAAGCTCCTTTCTCTCACAGCAGCAGTCTGAATGAATCATTGGTAGGAGCATTGCATGACCACTCAATAATCTTCCAAGTCCCAACCATAATAAGCCAATTCTATCTTTGGCTACACAAACAAGCACCAACCCCTTCAAACACCCATCAAAAGTAGTTCACAACTTCACATTCCATACTCATTCGTTGTTAATGCCAATCCACAACTCGTCAAAAAACGATGGCAAGATGAACTTGCTGGTTCCACGTCATCCACCTCAACTCCATCACGATAGTATCAAATTCACTGCCTTTTTTTTTTCAAAATCGAGAAAAATCTCAATCAAGCATCTAAGCCTCCCCATCATAATACGTTAACTACAACGCTTGTCCGCCACTAAGATAAACCGCCGATTATCTCTTTATCATACTTTTACCAAATGGCGTCCACATTCCATATTAATAGGCATTTTTTTAATACATACCTAAAAAGGCCACAATGCCTAGCCGCATAAGAAAAAGTGATAACTCGCTTTCTGGTGAAAGCAAGCATGACCCTCTCGGCAATTAAACAGCCGGCTCAGGCAGTCAAGACAAAGCAAGTCCAGGCAGAAAGTCTCCTCGTAAGCTTTGTTGTCTAGGCAGCAACCGCAGCTAATGCAACGAGAGATGCAGAATATGCAACCTCTGCATGCGTTTGCCAAGTGGATCTTCTCCCGACAACTGTCGGCAGGGCAATCGTACACTTCCTTCACCTGATGGCATCTCGGGCACATCTCGATGTCGATGGCCCGCTCGTCGTCTAGAGAGAGATACAGATCTTCCGCTCGAAAAAACCTCGGTTTGTACTTCCCGCCCTTTTTGTCCTCAACTGTCCCTAACAAAAGCTTAAACTCTTTGTAGTGCTGCATGGTTAGGCCCTGCAGCTCACCAATCCTTAGTTGCTTAATGCCAGGATTTGCAACTGAATTGAAGGCCTTCAGATCATGCAGAATGTTGTCAATGCTGAGTTTGCGGCAACCTTGCACGCTTAACTGCAAATAGAACCAAACAATTTACTTATATGGTAAGCAGTATATGAAAAAGGATAAAGATGAAACTATATACAAAGAATAATGTATTCGTGCAGTATATGAAAAAGGATAAAGATGAAACTATATACAAAGAATAATGTATTCGTTAACGAATATTATTTGACAAATCATAGCACATACTTGATAAACGAAAAACAGATTAACTGGTTTTTTGTTACGTCAATAAATTTCTATATGTGCTAGCATCATGGGCTATGCAAGTTTTCCCTAATGATTATGTGTGTTAAAATTAGATACATGGAATTAGTAAGCTAAAAGAGATTACTTCTGCACAAAATTGGTATTATGTTTCATTTCAGTAACTGTGAAAATCAACAGAAATATCCGATCTGGGATGATCATTAAATCAACCACCTATAAATTATCAATTACTAATAAACATTGCTATTCGTTATCTGTTTGTAGGCATACGTGTTTTTTAAAAGCCCCACCCCCGCCACCCTTCCAAAAACAAAACTGGCCCCACCCCCGCCACCCTTCCAAAAACAAAACTGGCCCCACCAAATCAAGTAAGATAATAATGAATATTACTAATCACATAGCATTTGCTACACAGGGTACAATAATAAACTAAAAATTCCCACGTCTTTAAGAATATACAATCACTTTGTTAACAAACCAGTATGTATGCACGGATAAATAGCACGACTAAATAGAAAAAAAAAAAAAAGTTGCATCATGTCAATACATTTAAACTTTACGCAAATAAATGTAAGTTAACTTGCCTTGGTCAACGCCAGATTTCTTTCAAGCACACGCTTAAGACCAATATTTGTGATCTTCGAGCACTTAACAAGGCTCAAGCTGGATAGGTTACCCTTAGCCCTGTTAGTTAATCCAAGAAGACCATCATCAGTAATCTTACCATTCAAGGGGTGATCTACACAAATATTTTTCCAAATAGGGGTTTCTTCACGAACAGCATCCTGCAAGGATTTGCAAACCCGTTCAACAGAAAGGAGGTCCTTAACACCAAGATAACTAAGAGCAAAGAAGAGAGCATCAGATGGATCACCCCCATCCGAATCATTATTATCCTTCAAATTTGCA